ATAGTCATAACAATTATTTACCCTATAAAATGGAAAATAGTGTCTCACAAATTATCGTGATGTCATTAAAATAAAATGATTTCTCAGTGGCAATACATTCAGAATTTTCTATTCCATAGTGTAAATATTAGGGAACGAAATGTTAAGGCGCCGTATTTAGCTATGAAAAATTCACTTATTAGTAGGTTAACAATAAATCCTTTCAGACAAAAATATAAGTATTTAGCGGACGTGAGAAACTGGGCTATGGATTATACAATTTAGAAAACATATGAGCAACGTCAGAATAATTGCAAATTAAAATACTGCTAGGCTCAATAAATCACCTGATAAGAGTTTAATCGGTAAGTATTAGGTATAAATAAAGTGTGATTGACTAAACACTTTCGCAAAGTGCGTTTATTTTAGAAAATCTCTACACTGTTTACGATAAGGTTTCTCACGTGCATTCTTAAAAACAGGAATATTTTCTTTATAAGAATCAGTATTAGGTAGACTTCATTCAAAGTAATCATTATTCAAAATATAATTCAACGTCATCACACCCCTAATTACATTGACAACTTCCCAAAAAGCGAAGTTAACATTCTGAATATACATGAACAGTTATGAGTAATTGAACAAACAAAAAACTATTGAGAGGTGGCCAATGAAAAAGACACGAAATTCTTCTTTTCATATCTGATGAAACAGATGAATGGAATCTTTTCAGCATTTACTATCAACTGGACGTTTCATGTAATTTGTATTCTATTTGGTGGTAGTTTTCATCTGCCAGCATTGGTACTGACAAGTAGCTATTAATCGGATACTACGAATCCGTTACAAAATGTACGAGCATCGAGCATCTGATTCTATGAAAGAAACTTGCCACTAAAAATAAAGTCAATATACACTCAGGCTAAATCATATGCAACAAATCCTAAACAAGAAATATTGCCAGATTTGACAATCGGTGAAAAGACTCTGCCGAACACATATGAATTTCTATTCCTCAGAATATTTGTAGAGAATACTATGAATATTTTAGTTGAATCTTTCGGTTTAATGACCATGATGCACCTTTTTGTTTTCAGTTACCGATAAACAATCCAGATATATTCGCATTACGAATTCCGGAAAGTATTTGCAATCCATGCCTCAGACAACATGTTCCTGACCTAGTTGTTGTAATCAAATCTTGTAGCTACTGTTCAGCTGAACGTGATCACGCACGAAAAACATTTATGCAGAAACATCTATGGCCGAATATCACTGTGGAATTCGTCTTTGTTGTGGGTGTACCTTATCCAAATGAATCGAACATATTCACATTTGACAGGCATAAATTCAAACTGAAGGATTCTTGGTGGAGGTTATCGAGAAAGTATGACAGGGACAAGTGGACATTTATTAAACGACTTGCAATGGAAGCAGATTTTTACGAGGATATGTTGATTGGCTCTTTTCACGATACTTACTTAAATTTGACCACAAAACTTATATTTACATTCCGTTGGTTATCAGCATTTTGTCCCAGTGCGGTACCGTTATTCCTGTTCTTAGATAGCGATTATGATTTGGTTCCTTGGAATGTGATAAAGTTGTACAGAAATCATACACTAGGTAATTTGAGAGACCTGACTGGTGGGCTTCGACATAGATTTCCAATGGTTGTCAGACCACGCTATGATGGGAATATAAGTAGCAATTGGGCAGTAACATTGAAGGAGTTCCCATGGGCAATATATCCTCCATACTTTTATGGAGCTACCTATATTTTGGGTTCGAATATAGTCAAGCGCCTTGCTGTTGCCAGTGCATTTACTCAGCATATTCGTATTGACGACGCTTACTTGGGTATACTCTTTAACAAACTGAACATTATTCCACGAAACCTCGATGTTATTTCTCTTAAAAGTGGAGAACTCAATATCAAATCTGGTGCAATAAACCTACCACGCTCTGTCAGTAAACGTATAATCGATTGGACGGTCGGTAGGCTTAAGTCCAATCATTGAAATTAAAGTCATTTGATATTTTCAGTGATTATAATTAAGGGTTTTGTTGTGCTTTGGTATTTGATTCGATTAAAATACTTAATATGAACATCAAGCTTATTGCGTGTACATCTCCAGAAGAAAAGTATTTCAATCGAACTAGTTAACTATTTCTCGTTGTAATATGAAAAGTTGATTAACAGTTTTTGAGTGATACTTAGTTATCAATAATTGAACTGTCAAAATTCTGACTGTGTTAATTAGTATTCACATTCTTCTGTATATAGGATTGTTTCATAACAAAGTTTAAATTTTGGTATCTGTTCTTCTTTAATTTTCCTTACATCAGTTCGGTTGAATAGGAATTTGTTAACAGATATTTAATTACTCTAAGAAGAAAAATAAACACCAATGTTACTCATTCATTCTCAAAGGTAACAATCGGTAACCATAGCTCTCTATGAAAGATCACTTCGTCATTACCGAACAATGATTGAGCAAAACAGTTTGAAGATATTTAAAGATGAAATGGTCAAATTTCCATTTAAAATTGACAAGACTGAGAATGTCTAGCTGTTCAACAAAGATCAGGTGTCCAGTTGACAAAACAAAAATAATGAAAAGAAATAAAACCGTTTAACATTGATACAAAACAACAAGTATTTCAGTAAGTAAGTAAGAAAGTCAGAAATAAATTATCTTGTTATGTCAATTAACCTCAAGCCATCAGTCATGAATCTCGAATCAATTGCAGCATCATAGTTTAATGAGCTAAGTATCATGAGTGTAGGAATGTGTTTCAAATCAATGAACTCATTATTAGTTGTAATTTTCTTCTGTCTAGATTTAGGTCTGCAAATTGAATATTATTTATATCCTTCACTTATTCAATTCATAGTTACAATAAGTTCGCTCGCTAATCAGTCGAATTCAGATACACATAATGAAACAATAAATTCATTAATCTGAAATTCATATCAATATCTAAAAATGATGAGTAGGAAGTATTTAGTTCTAATTATTTTCTTCATAACGATCTTTAGATTATTTATTCGATTTTAGATAAACTTCCAAAAAAAGATTAAATCGATCATCGATCAGTATTTTTTTCTTTTGTTGTGTTTAATCAATATTTTATAAAATAATTTTCAGACTAGGTTACATGGATCAACTTTCATTTGTTACTTATTGATTATTTATTTATGAAGTAGAGTTATTTGTCTGTCTGCCACATACTGTTGACCTATTTTTTGTTAACAATTCGGATCGTAATTGTATTCTCTCATCTGTTTCCTCAAAAGCAAAATCTTCACTACTATTGAGCATTTAATAATGTGAATCAATTCAACATATATCGTAACAGCAAGTTTATGACATCTTGAAAAATTATTGTTATGTAGGTGGTATTTCTAGACGAATCATAGTTTAACTTTAGAAAAAACACAAAAGCCTATTATGTAATTTGATTAACTTTCATGAAAAACACACGTTTCTCTCAGGTGACAACACACGATTTCATCAATAGTTCTTCCGGTAGAAAGTGCGAAATTCAATTATACAAATCGATATCATCTTGATACAAGTCGGCAAGACATTTGAATAAAAGTCATTCTCCGATTGAAATCGGAATGTGAGAAGATAGCAGTTAGGTGCGTATCACTGTATTTCGACCAGTCGGAATCTATCTGAAACTATGATTAGCTTAGTTATATGAATTATCGGACAACAACGCATCCCAAATATGAAATTATACTTTATCTACGATCACACAATAAGTGAAATCAAGTGAATCAAGGCGTATATTATTAATGAGCAATGATCCAGGAAAAGTAAAAACTGCTTAGGAAGAGGGATTACAATGATATGTCGCTGATGTCAGTCGATCACAACAGAGAACTCTAATTGTCTGCCTAACGCGTCTTCAATACTGTTGAGACAACAAAGAAAGTAAGCAACAATGTTTTACACGGCATTCACGTAATGAATGGTGTCATACTCTTTCGAAGCATCTTAATTTACTGATTCTCATCGCCACTGTCTCTCAACTAACCATGAAATCATTTTCCGCTGCGTCTCTAAATTCGTCTCTTTAGTGTTGATTGTATATACAGAAATCATTGCGAATAAAAGTAGAAGTACCACATGTAGACATTAATAGATTCAAGTTCACATTAGCTTAGGCAACAAAAGCAACCAAGTGTTTAGTGAACAATACTTAATTTACATAATTTTACACCAACACGATTGTTTAAACGAAAATATGAACAGACAAAGTGAAACAGGAGTGGTGAAATCACAAACATTTTTGATAGGCTATCTTGTATATTAGTCAGTTCAGATGGAGTAGTCAACAGCTCAGCAAAACCATCTAATTCGCAGTACATAACATGAACAACAGTCATGTGTTGTTTCATTCATGTGTCGTGCAAGGTACAAAAATATCCAGTTATGATTGGTTTTTGTTCGCCATCCAATCAATTATGTTTTTGACAGTGTTTATTTTTATATTGATGACTCCAGATGGAATTTGTTTTTCCGATGCATCAATTCGAAACTGATCCATACTAATCAGTGTCCTATTTAATCGACTCAACACAATTCCTAAGAAAGAGTCATCTATACGAATATTTTGTGTGAAGGCCATGGTCAGAGACGCATCACTGACAACATCTGAACTCAGCAAATAACTTATGCCAAAGAAGTAAGGTGGATAATCGTCCCATGGGTATTCATTCACTGAAACCGCCCACTTCATATCAAATTTCCCTGTTGACGGTCGTACCACTACACTCGTAGGATGTACTCTGCCTACAACAATCGGTCTCAAACTCGAAGAATGTAAACTCCTTATAAGATGAATTGTGTTTTCAGGCAGTAATACATAGTCGTCATCGAGAAACAGATACAAAGGTGTTTGGCCCCTACAAAATGTAGCAGCCCATCGATATGACAATACCATCTTCGAAGTTAGGTTGAAATAAGTATCGTAGAATGAGCCAACCAACATGTCCTGAAATTTACGACTCTCATCATACAGCTTCTTAGCAGCAATCCATCGTGAGTTCTTGTAGAGTTTCGAGAATCCCGAAGCACCCCGATGAAGATCAACATTGACTCCATCGAAGTGATACACATCCGTTTCATTTGGTTTCGGAAGTCCAACGACGAAAACAAATCGAATTCGGAAATCTTTCCACAAGTGTGATTTCATATACGTATCTCTTGCATACAACCGCTTTTCAAAACAATAGACACACGATTTCACTATTACTATAAGATTTAGATTTTCTGGTGGTTTGGTGGGGTCACAAGCACTCGTTGGTAATTGTAAAACAATGATTGGTCCTCCGTTGATCGGCATCTGAAAGGGAACGTCAAAGAAACCAAGCGATTATCACTTTGATGAACTGGTGGAGGAAAATCAAATTCTACTTGAAATCTATATCAACGGAAGGCGCACTAAAATGCAACATTATTGTTTGTGTGAGCGCCTCAATGGTCCAAGATTACAAAAATGAGTAGTGTTAGAAATTCATCAAATGCATTATTCATGTAATTGTAGCCACTTGAATGTAACATCGTTACATTGACATACCACGATCATCCAAAAACATGTTGACATCGAAGTGGAATTCGAGTGATCTATGGAGATTGAATCGAATTACTACAAAAACAAACGTTTCAGCTGATTGGATGTCCAACTATCAAATGCATAAATTGTAAGTTGAACTTCTGGTAGTTTAGTGGCCAGTTGATGCCAATGGTCACTGTCTTAAATTTAACAACCAAATCATGTTAGTGTGGAAAGTCAGTAATACAGTTTGAGGCACTACGGCCTATGTAGGGAAGTTTATGGCCACTGAACTCCAGTGATAATTCAATCAGCACACAAACTGTGGAAATGACCATTTAAGCACAGTTTACACACATGTTATGTCTGTTACGTGTTTCGAAATACGAAATGTCGAACAGTCTGAAGAACAAACAGTTTATTAGCTTCCCAACCGGGATGTTTACTTTTCGGTAGAACATGCACAAACTACTTACTTTGATTCCATCCACATTCCATTCAAAGTAATTCATCTCTCTATGAGTGGTTTGTTACCAGTGCTCGAGTATAACTTGTTGGTTTGTTGAAACAAACAGCTAACACATGCTATGTCGCTTACTCATAGGTATTTCTCAAGTGTATTTCGAACTCATGATCATTTTTCACAATTGCAAATCTGTACCTAAAAACCAGTACTCTGAATGACGAAGTGATACATATTGATGTTCTGTTATCGTGATCACCTTGTATGAGAAATCTGCATCAACCTGGTTGAAATTGTTGACGAAAACTGCCAGTCTCACGACTAACAGAATATAGAATTAATAGAGGCTAATTCAGAAATATTTACTACCTTGGATATTTAGTTACACGCTGACTAACTTGAAGTACAGGTCAATAGATCTGTGTTTCATAATATTCCGTAGCCGTATTCTACAATACGGTCACTAACTCAGTTGATTTCTACTTTTTTACTATAAGAAAGTAAGAATATTTCACGAATTAGATTGAACTACGATTTATCATATTTGCCTCGTTCAACCGTCTTCGTGTCGTTCATCGTTATTCTGAAGACAGTTCAAAGTCGCTATCAATTCGGCTGTATTTTTTCAATTCTAGATAGCTAACAACTAGTCACGTGAATTGTACAAAGCATGCGTAAGTCTTCACACTGCTAGGTCTTCATGTCTTCAAATATTCACAGATGAAACAAGTCGGGTGGCTAATACATTTTAGTGTTTGAGTAGGCCAACTCAGCAGTGATTAAGTTTCTGTTGGGTTATGATATTGATAAACGACCGACACGCATCCAGCATACGCATCACCTCCATAGTATTCGACTCCAGATGTTACTTCACCAAACAAATTGTCATTACAACCGTGTTGGGATTTAGATGAAAGTGACTGACTACTTTTTCGACTGTTTGTAATCAGAGTGAAAATTGGATTGGTAAGCTCTTAAGATTCATCAAAATGCCACGTATATCGGATGAAGGTTGACATGATCTCCACATTCACTCACCATAATCAAAATAGTTACAACTACTGTGAATAAAAACGTTGTTGTAGGCAGATTTTCCAATGCGATGCACATCTGAGATAGGCATAGTGAATATCCACTGGAAAACAAATGGCATGAATTTAGACTAAAGTCTCCCCTCATCATTCCTCATGGAAGGATGGAAACGGCATAAATCACTTCGAAACACATGCATATTACATCTCACCTTATATCTCACTGAAGGATGTGAACATACTATTTGTTGACGTATCCGAGTGTTTGAAACAAAATGTGCGTTTGTGTGTGCATGTGAGTTGGCAATACTAAGCAGTTTGATATTTCCATCGAAATTATTCTCCCGTTCAATACAAGTTCTTTGTTCATCTGTGTACCGATGACTGAAACCATCAGTTGCATATCTGACGGTACACTGTTTAACTGAAAGAACATATATTATGCTTCACGTTCCTTGTTTGGCTTATTCTCCATGACGTGTTTTGTAGTCGCAAGGAGTATCGTGTGACTTTGTTACCACTCTGGTCACTTTTTTGACATTTTTGTATTAACGGACTTCAGAGTAGCCCATTTTAAAAGCTAGTGTATGCTATTGTTCCATGGAGAAGACATATGAGTGACGGATTTGTAATACGTAGTACAAATGTTGGTCAACTGGGGATTGTGCATTCTCGCAAGATTTTGTATCCAGTCAAAGTAGGGAAGGAAGTGGGTTGATCAAGATAGATGGGTCCCTCATCAGATGCATAGATTGAAAGCAGTGGTGAAACGGTCACAGCCAAATTCCTCAAAAATAATGCCATCTGATAACGGCTTTCTCAACCGCTGTATTGATAAACACAAAAAATTAACACGGAGTAAACAGAACGGAACTCCTATCTACAAATAATAACTTCATGTGCATATGACATTGCATGATGGCGAGAGAACGAATTGACCTTTAAAACACCTGTCTGCACTGACTAGAAGAATGTATGGATGTATGGAAGATCAGTTTCCTCATCCAATCACTGGTTTCTGAACGCACAAGTTCATATGGATCAAGTAAGTTGACCTCGGTTCGTATTCGCCAGCAACACGTACCCGATAGAATAATTTGTTTCGATTTCACTAGATCCCGATCAGAATGGTTAGGACTCAGATCGTTGAATATTTGACTTACATTGACCATTCATCTAACGTACATATTGTTTTTAAGGTTGTTCATAAAACGACCAATATTTCTTCAGTGTCATATCCATAAATCCACAGAAGTTTTGTTCGTCTAGAATATGTAGTAGTAGTAGTTTGAACTCTCTGTACCGAAATATACAACGTCCTTTCTTTGTCTCCACTAAGACATCAACATATTACTACTATTTTTGCTGTGTTATACTTTCGTATTTGAAAGTATACCCTCACCAAATATTTCGCATGAACTCTCTTGACGTTTGCGGTCATGCTTCACACAATACCCCAAATATCTGCATATTTGACCAGTGAACCATGAAAAAACAACTATTTTGTTAATTTACTCGGTTCGCATTGGAATCGTCTGTTTATCTACTAGGTTTCCAACCATTTTTAATCGATGAACTCCCACCAAAATTTACACAAACTTGTGTTTATATTACTTACACTTCACCATGTGCAACTGTTTTCATTCTGAGTGTGCTGCCATTATCGTGCACCTTACAAAAAAAAGTGTAGTGGAACGCTTCTACGAAGAAAATACTATTTGTGAAAAATAAACATTATTGTGCACGTTTTGTTCAACTGTACCAAAAACACTTCTACTTCTTGCGCGCAACGTTCTCTTCGCGTTGCTACCACTTTTCTAAATGCCCTGCTCCCCATGTAATGCTAAAGTTCTCCTTTAATAAAATACTCAACCATGGATTTATTTTGTCTTAAAGACGGGACCGTACGGAACATTTAGTGGTGAGCATAGTCAATCTGGTCTCATGAATCGCTCACTACACAAGTCTGGCTCGGTAGAGAATTCGTTGGAGAGAGAGATATCTCCAATGAATTTGATGTTACCGGTATTCTATGACGAAGTATAAAATAATGGCAAGCAACACCACGAAATTTCGTCATCCACACTTACCACATGGTGGCGGTCATGGTTGCTATTCAAGAAAACTGTTTGCATATCATGAGAAAAAGTGGTTTACCTATCGGTTCACCGTTAAAATGCGAATGAAGCGCGTAATCGACCATAACGTTAGTTTAAACTTGGAGTTATCCTTACTCTTTCATTCGACCCCGCTAACACTCTGCCAAGAAAAAACAGCTGATGTTGATCATGCATAATATATACATAATGTTGCACTATTATTTATTATAACAATAAGTGATTTAGAGGCACTTAAACAACTTACTGCATCATCAGGCAACCCAACTTTAATCGCATCAAGTGCTTCTTTCACGTTGAAATACTTCGGAACATGCACTTTTCTGGTTTCCGTTTCCACGTTTGACTGGCCAGAAGACTTTTGAATTGCATCTTTACTATTCAACAAATTATAACGTTCATTCAATGTATCATTCACACGATTCTCACCATTTGTTTTGAATGGAATTTGTATATCCATAAGTCCACCGTTTAACGGTGTGCGAAACACACGAACTGATGAATCGAATACAGACAATGTTTTGTAATTCCATACACTCAGATTATTCAAATGATCAACACATCGAAGCCACATTTGCTCCGACGTCGTACATATATTTAGAGCGTTCATTTGAAACAAAACGTCACTAATCGAAAATTCCTCTTTCACTGAACTGTTGATTACGTAATTATGAATCATTATAATTGATGATATATAAGCGAACAGAACAATCATTATGAAAACATTTCTACGTTGTTTAGAATTATGTATTCGACTTGTAATATTCATCATTGATTAATGCTATTTCAATAATGTTATCACTTAATTTTTGATTGTCATACAGTCGCGCACGTGTATAATTAAGTAACTATTTCAGGAATGGATTTCATTACATGAATGTGACCTATTTTCTGTCAATTTTATATTATCACTCTTGAGTTAATACATGAGACAATTAAAATAACATATCTTGATGACAAAATAAAATCAAGCTTAATTGAAATCAGCATGTACGCTTGATGTATTTTTCATTTGTTTAGTAGAACAATTTTTGTCTTTTTAAATGCTACTATTGGATGCAGTTATATGCTAAAGGGCTCATAAAATTTATTGATATATATTTATGTGTTGCACAAACAGTAACACATCTCATCTACCTATAAAATTATCATTTTATCAGGTTAATGATCTTTTGATTAAACTTTACTCATTCGTTGTGATACTGATAATAATCTTATCAAACCATTCGATTCATTTACCTTTTTGTTTGTAGACAAAAATATTAGGCTCACAAAACTACGCAAATTGTACGTTGCTAAATAAATCAGCTCTCTTATTGCTATCTCATATATATATATATATATATATATATATATATATATATATATATATATATATATATATATATATATATAACTATGCTGGTATTATTTTCTAAGGTTACTGTCCACGTGAATAGGCGGCAATAATAATGAGCATTAACAGCATATAATACTTTACAAGAAATCATCAGTAATATGTGCAGATTCATAGTTTTACTGATAGTGCTTATTGATAAAACAAGCTTATTCTTTTCTTGTTTCATGAAATCGGGTTTTTTGTGCTCAAACTTGCTGATGTTTATTCAAACAAGCACTATTCAGTGTTCGTTGTTACAGATAAAAGCTGCTATCTTTAGAAAGACTGTAAAAGTTTTGTTATACAATAACCAGTTTGTCATTTTCTAGACATATAGTCTCAGTCTTACTCATCACGACAAAATGTTTTTTGTCAGTGTTGTGTAATGTTGTGACGTTATGTTAACTGATGCCTTACTGTATTATAGCCAACTGCATCAACTTTTCTCTGGTAATAATAACCTTTTCATAGTATCTTTCTTCTGGAAAACCAAGGTGAAATTTCTCTTTCCCATTTCGACTTCTTTTGCTATGTGTTTTATCATGTTAATCCGGAATGGTAACTTAAGTCAACACACGTGATGATACTTATATATCTGTCTACTATATAATCTGTAAGATGGGTTTTCAGTGGTGAAGTGATTATTTCTTACATTTGGACTTATTCAAAATGTTTGACATATCAATAATTAAATTAGTATAATCATATCGTTATTATCAACTTGGAGATGATGGAGAAAATTTATAGCTCAGGTGGATAATTGTGAGGGAGTTTCGTTCCCTGAACTGGATGTTTAGGTTGTGTTGGGGCTTTCATTATTCTTCTGAATAGCGAATAGCTGAGCAAAGTGGAAGATACATGGTACACCTAATGATCATTGATGCACACTACAGATACCAACACAACATTGATAAACAGAAAAAGGTTACTGGAGTAAACATTTTTTCAGATGATGTTGTTCAGAAGAACAATGACAGCTCCACAACCAAATCATCTAGTTCAGGGAACGAAACTTCATCACAATATTTCAACTTCGTCCAATAATATCGTAATTAGTACATGAGAGTTGTGCTGATGATAGTTTGACAATATAGATTGACTGTCTATGAATAGTGGTCGCGCAGTTTTGCAAAATGATTGAACTTGTAAATGGAAGCCATAAAATACCAACTTAATGGTTTATAAGTGAAAAGTTCGGTCACGGGACTTGAAGGTGGTCATCTCGATCTCTTCTAGGGTCATGAATTCACACTGTCGATGAGTCTTACACTATTATAAAACAACTATCCCAGGTTTCCTGGTTTTTAACTTTGATGTGAATTAGACCAATGTTGTCAGTGTATTATTTCACTCCTATCAACACAATTTTTGTGTCCAATTTGTTTCCGTATGAAAAATATTAACTTTGTCTCGCTATTATCTTTTGATTAATGATTAAATCATGAAATTTATATATCCAATTGGATTAAATCAAATGCAATGTCAAAGCTAGTAACTGTGTAGGAATTGATTGAAACAAATAAGAACAGGAATAATAGTGGTAATAATAATCTTGGTTTACACTAACATCTAACAGGTTTTACTATTCCGATTTTTAAGAAGGATGGGGTAATATGTTTAAGTTTACGATGATTTTGACCATACACTTGTTTACTAGCATCCATGTCAATTTGCGTTAACACTCAATTCTTATACATATACATACTGGTTACAACTAAGTAGCTCGTTTATGTAACACAAATGACTTACACTGGTTATAGTAAGGCTAATAAGAATGATTGTATTTTCTGTACGTCTAAAATACTGGTTATAATAATTAAGGTGATTATTATTTTACTATATAACTTGTCAGAATTATTACTACAATTGTTTGAACGAAACCAATGTTTAGGCATCAATTTTGTTGTTTCTTTTAGAAAATAAAGTTGTTTTTTCTTGTTTTCAATCGATAGATCTTTGAGAGATTATGTATACTTGGAGCTAATTTAGATGCACGCAATGATTCCGGATTGACTGTGTTGCATATGAAAGTACACGATAATAATTTCGAAGATGTTTTGGCCCTGTTAATTCGTGGTGCCGATCCAAATCTATGTGATATTAATGGAGCAACTCCTTTACATTATGCGATGACTGTAGGTTTTATTGGTTTACATCTAAATCTTTCTTGAAGCTAATATGACACCTAGTAATATTTAATAAATATTTTCGTTGCTGTCAGGTAAGTATTGGATGGACCTGGAAGTTGATTTATGTGCGTGTGCGTAATGTGTACGAGAAAAGTTCACATCAGTGGTGGATAAGTCTTAATGGAAAATAGAAAAAAGAACAGATAGTAATAGTAATTGCATTGATTGCATTGAATTCGTTGTTTCGAAACTGTCATCATCATTTATTCATATTAATACTAATTCTAAGTTTGTAAAAAAGATAATTTTTTGATTAGTTGTCGAAGTTTGTCTCGTAGTGGATTTAGATGGAAATATAGATTTCATAGGTACCCGGTTTACAGCAACAACTGATGGTCCAGAGTACGTTCTTCAACCAGTTTATTTTTGAGGTATCCTGTAGTAGGACGTGGGAGCTATCCAGTGCTTATTGATTTTCAATGGTGCCACAAGTGAGTTTAATCTACGACAAATGTAGCTCGTGGTATGAAGTTCTGTTTTCACCAAGAAATAAATCATTTGTGAAAAGGGAGTGAAGAATATGTTTTCTTATGGTTTCAGTAAGATCTTGATCAGATTTTACGATTAGAAGTCGAAATATACTGATGAAAAGAATAGCGAAGTTAATGGTAATCATGTTTTTGTGTAGAGTGCTAATAATTATAATGACAACTTCACAAACCTTGTGGTTTCAATCTTTTCTGTAGTTTTAGTTGGCTTTCGACAGAAAGCCTCCTGAATCTGTTAAGTAGTATATTTCGGGATATACTCACAACTGAGATGTAATAAATTTGATGAACTGCTCGTTGATATTAATCAGACAAATCGACTTAACAGCTAGCCTTATACATACTATTTATCATGTATTTCCTATTGCTTCACTACGTTGTTGATCAGTCACTTTATAAGATAACACGATCTTCATCAAGTGTTGTCGGTAAACTACTACGTTTTGTTTGTAAAGAGTTGTGACATTTCTTTAGTATTTCAGGGGTATTAGATTTTCACTGATCCAGTTTAACAGTATTATGCTCATCCCAAAAGCAACATTATAAGTAAATAGACGAATTAGTGCATACGTTTCTCTTTTGCTTCTATATTTGTTGATGCATACAATCTTGTTCATTCATGTTCATTGATGTGTGAATATCACTTTTGTTCCTTGTTAGTATAATGCATCCATCCATACTATTCGTGCATTATTGGCATTTGAAGCGGATCCCTATGCTTTGGATAATAATCAACATAGTTGTCGACACTTATTATGTAGTAATTCTGAAAGGTTAGTTTGAAGTCAATTATGTTGATAGTTTTCTAAAAGTGTATTTTAATGGAAATACTAATTATTGTACAAGTTTTCTCTCTTGTGTTGACTTTCAAGATAGTTTTGATGATTGACTGACTACTTTTCATTTAAAATTTTGCGAGAATGAAATGGATACACAGATCATTGATCGCATTATTTTCGTAACTTCACTAACACGACTTTCTGACGTTGAACGTGTATCCAAGTCGAACTTATAAATTGTTGTTATTATTGACACGCTGTCTGAGGGACCTATGCAATCGTTATGCAGCTGATGTTACTGTATGGTTACAATTAGTGAATGTTTGTCTTCAGTGCCGTTTTCGCTTTTTTATTCAGCACACAGTATTCGATTACAGCCTTTCACTTTTGAAAACAGACAAGTAATGACTTGGTTTCTAAATTTCAGATTTTCCTTGAAGTTTAGTCTACACTGTACATATAATGCTGTCATACTAAGCGTGAATTACTTATTGATGAATTACTACTTACTTATTTATTGACTGAATAATGTTGAAATACTTGGATGAATCGCTTTTATGCGATATGGAGATGAGAACGGATGCGAAGTTTTTAAAGTGGAATGCATGAAGTCTATTTACAGTGCTCTTCGATTTGATTTCACAGTGTATCATTTTGTCATTAGTTAATCAACAATGAAACCAAAGTGTTTATGTAATACTGTACAGATGTTTCTTAATAAAGCTCTTTTTTATGTATTTTTTTTGCTATAAATTTTCAGTTATGTGCCTACACCTGATCGGTAAGTTGAATGAATGATTAAAAATAATAATAATAATACCACACAGGCATCCTTCTGTTATAAATACAAGGAAAAGTCTTCAGCATGTTGTTGTTTAACAGGATGAAAAATTTAGTATAAGCATATCTTCGAGATCAACAGTCTGGATTCTGCGAATTTTAATTTTGTACTGAACGAATAGCGCGCGAGACTACGGAACATTGTGGAACAATTGAATGAATGGAATTCACTAATCCACATCAACCTCATTGACTAGGAGAAAGCGTTCGACAGCGTGGACAGGATGGCACAATGTCATGCTTCAGAAGTTAGTCAATATCATACGACGTTCATATGCAGCTGAACAATCCAGACTTCACAAATGATCTGGCTCTCCGTCTCACATGCGGTAACAAATGCAGATGACGGCGGTCAGTGGGGCAGCAGCAGCCTTGACAATAGTTGATGTCAAAATGCGCAATGAAAAAGCAAGATCCTCCTATGCAACGCCACATGCACCAACAAAATCACACTCAATGGAGATGCTTCAAAAGATGTTAAAACTGTTATGTTGTATAGAGGGGAAAATTGGTGAACTACAATAGTGATCATGAAAAAGATACAGATGTTTATAAACAGTTATCTACGCAACAACCTTTTATCGAGAGAATAAACTAGATTTCTGTGGATGGTGATAAGCAGTTGATGCACGTATAGCAAAACGAACTGATCAATTCCAGTCCTCACCAATAATGCAAGATTCAAACAACCAATACAAATAAACTAAACTTCACTCCATTGCACAAGTCATTGGCTATCTGAACTCATCTAATTGGATAATGCGATAACGTTGTAAGAGAAAAGTTCTTAGTTCCGATCCCGGACTGAAGATCAACTCTGAAAGGCAGGTACATCCAACTGACGAGTCTCAAATCGAACAGAACGCTCATCCAATCTTGCACTGCTAACCACCATCCATCTCTGCTTGAAATGTATTAATAATCCAATCCACTAATTATGACTAATAACAAACAACGATGGCTAGTAAAGAAAGAATCACGTTGGGAGAATACCAAGGGTGGCCGAATCAAGACATGGCATCAGGTACAGCATCAATGATACACAAGGTGGATCGGGTGAAAAAGAGAAGACAAGGAATGGCAAAGCAAAGGCATTATTTTTACAAATAAAGAAGGTCTGAAGCTCAAAACAACTGTCAGTCAACAGCGAAGTCAGAATTTTCAATGCCGATATCGATCAGTTCTATTGTAGGTAACGGGGACTGGTAGAACCACGAAATCCATCACTCGAAAAGTTCATGTGTTTAATAACAGTTGTCTACACAGGATACTGCAGATCCATTGTCCAGACACGATCAGCAACAACTTACTGTGGGAGAGAACGGACCAGATTGCAGCTGAGTAAGAAATCAGAAAGAAGCGCTGGAGGTCTATAGACCATGCTCTTCAGAGGCTACCTATCTGCATCACCAGGTAAGCCTTAACTCGGAATCTTCGAGGCTAAAGGAAACGAAGTAGACATAAGAACACACTGCGTCAAGAATCGGAGACCGACATGAAAGTAATGAACAGCAATCGGAAAGAACAGGAAATTAAGGCCCAGGATAGAGTAGGTTGGAGAATGATGGTTGGTAGCCAATGCTCTATTCGGGGTAACTGGTGTTAATTTTGTATCACTGCAATTATATGCAATGTCTCTCCCGGAAAATATCTCCTGTCGTCTGTAGTTCTACAGTATGTTAATTACAAAACAATATTAGACTATGAAATCTCCCAGTAGTTTCTGTTTACAATTTTAACATTGCAATCAATAGTAGTCTTGAGTTATTTTTGTTGAATAATGAGAATAATTCTGAAATGCTTTTGATTCTATTGCTTATGCTGGAAAATAGGAACCATTGTGATTCCTGTGATACAATTGAGGGTGAGATGGCGATCCAAAACCATCTCAATAATTAAACAAATACACTCATTCATATACCAGTGCTATACTTATTTAACATTTAGTTAGTATACAGGGTTACTCTAAAAACATACGAAATTCGCGTGAACTAATGCAAGGAATATAATTGTCACACTTGAACAAAGTTCTCATTTATCCTAATGAAAAAAAAAATTAACACTTCAGTGTTGCTAATGCATTAAACTGAAATCAGATTATGCTAGAAAATATAAACACGATTTCATACTGCCTTAATGTTGTAACATAGGGAAATAAACTGATTTCATTTTATCTTTTTCATAAATCTCAGCCAGTATTTAACATACCTTGGAGAGTCCTTTACACTCTGGTTGTTTTCCTGTTGCCAACCATCAAATCTATTGATTAATCTCATTTGAATGCAGTGTGATTTTCCTTAGACTAATTTGCATTACGTGGTTGTGAAGATTGTTAAGTTACACATTTTTGAAACCGTGAATCGATCAATGTTAGACCACCATTAGAAACCTGGAAGCACTGGAGGGCCGTTTCGTCCTGGTATTGGACTCTTGTGCAGTGCGCATCCACGACTCCTGCATCTCGCAGGATTCGAACCCTGGGCCTTCGGTATTGTGCGCGAAATTAACAATCTTCATTGATCGATTCATGGTTTCGAAAATGTGTAAGTTAGACTAATTGTTAAAAGAAAATATTATTGTTATTTATAAAACTATTCAAAACTACCTGTTTATAGTGCCTTGGAAATTTTAATTAATTGTTCATTGTTAAATTGTAGCCATTGAAGAAATTCTCTTATCCACTACTTCATTTGATTTTAATTATTCAAATCAAAGCAATCAAATGTCAAAATTTCAAACAATGTCTAATAATGACTTATCGAATGGTATGAGATTACGTTCATACAATTCTCATTCAGAAAATTATACTATAAATAACGATAATATGAAACAGCAAAAATCACGTAAAAAATTATCAAAACTACAAAGGCGATTGAAATCAAAATACTTTGTTCTAAATTAATTAAAGTCATATATTTTAGTTCAGCGATCTAATGCAACAACTTTGAAAAAGTAAGCTGTTGTTGAATAGTGATCCGGAAAGTTATATAGAAAGTTATACATATATAAATATATATATATATATATATATATATATATATATATGTATATCCCGACCGTTGCTGTTACCTTGAAGTGGTGGTCGGGCTTGCCTATCATGATGACCCAACCGAGCTATATTGACTGGAACTATGTTCCTGAAGGTCCTACTATGCCAGGCAGGTCGACTGGAGAATGAGCAGACTAAAAGCAGCTACTCATAGTCATTCTTCTGACTGCAGAGCAGAACTATCTCTCCTAGACTGGATAGTCGATTGTGCACTGTCCGACTGAGCGGGACAGTAAGTATTCGGAAAGATAGGGACACCCGTCGTTTCCTCTTCGTCGTATCTGCCTATGCCCCTACTGACTGCAGTTCAGACGAGGCGAAAGATCATGTTTACAGAAAGCTTTCGGACCTCCTCCAAAATGTTAAGCGCTTTGATGTAGTAATAATGGCTGGTTACTACTGCTCAAGTAGGTAGACTAAGTGAAAAGGAAAGACACCTAGGTGGATCTTATGGTGTCGCGGCTCAGAAAACAGATAATAGCGACCATCTGTTGCAGTTATGCTCAGATAACCGCCTATTTCTAGCAAAATTTATTTTTAGTCATAAGGAAAAACATCTCTTGACCTGGCGACCCCCAAAGTCATCTCAACGTTGGACACAACTAGATCACATCGCCATCAGCCACCGATGGAGGGGTTCGATAGAAGACTGTCGCTCGTTCTGGGGCACATATTTAGATTCAGATCATGCCCTAGTGCGAGCGCGTATCTGTTTGAGGCTTACTGGACGTAGGAAAGACACCGTAAGAAAGCCTCTTAGGGTTCGACTTAATGATAATAAAGCTAAGAATATATTTCAGGAACTACCAGAAAAACAGTTAGACAACCATGTAAGTGATCTTCATCCGGAGGCAGCCTGGAATGATATCAAAAAGCTGTTGAAACAGTAATTATATCTGCTAGTAAGGTAAAACATAAGGTTAGGGAGAGGCAATGGATTTCAGTAGCATCTACCAAACTTATGGATGTTTGGAATCTCATCCCATCTTGCTCTGAGTATGTTCAGGAACGAAATCAGCTTAGGTGCAGACTGATAAAAAGCCTTCACAATGATCGCGAACAGTGGTGGGCAGCGGAAGCGAGAGCGATGGAAAGGGCAGCGGCGATAGGCAACAGCAGAAAACTTTTCCTCCTTATCAAGGGAATCGGTATTAGGAATCTGGCTGTTAGTGAGAGCAGCAGGACCTGAAACAATTGACCCCTGAGATTTTACCATCTGACTAGTCTCAATCACTGATTGTCCCAGTCTACAAAAAGGACAAAAGTCCTCTGGTGACAATCACAGAGCGATCAATTCAACTAATATAGTATCTAAAATACTGGCCTCAATAATACTCCGACGCTTAACAAAAGCTCGTGAAGAACAGACTGGAAAAATTCGACTCTATGATCGCGAGGTTCTGTGGCAGTGTCTGTCATTGAAAGAAGTACCAGAGAAGTACATTAACCTAATACAGGCTCTCTTCTCCAACCCCACTGGTCGAGTAGGAGCTTATGGCGAACTGTCGTCGGAATCCGTTACTTCAAGTGCTGTCCGTCAGCGCTGTCCACTCTCCTTATTCCTGTTTAACTTTATCGTAGATATGCTTCTAGAGTTAACATTATCATCGTCTGACTCTTGAGGAGTGGACCGTCCACCAGGACGCGCTTATTGACTTAGAATGTGGCGATGATATAGTTCTATTTAGTGAAGACGCTGACAAAATGCAGAGTCTCCTTACTACCCTAAGCAACAACGCAAGCATGTTCGAGATGCGGTTTTCCCCCTCGAAATGCAAAATGTTGCTTCAAGATTGAGTTGCATCGACACCTGAACTAGTGATAGGGAGTGAAGTAGTCGAGCGTGTTGACCGCTACACTTATTATTTGAGTCTTTTGACTTTTGCCGACTTGCTTAATTTATGCCGTAGGTGAGATATCCGTTTGCTGACTAAAGGACAACAGTTCGCTCCGTCCTACTTTTTCTCTGCGAAACATGGCCAGTCATTATAGTAGATATTCGTAGGTTACTGGTTTTCGTTAATAAGTGTCTCCGATGCATTGCTCGAGTATCGTAGGACTGCTGAGTAGGCAATGCTGTTGTTAGGAATCGGGTGTTAGATAAGGATGGCAGATCAATAGATGAAGTAATGAAACTTCGCCAATTGAGGTGGTTGGGACATTTGTTACCTATTCCCTAACACCGACTGCTGCGACGAGCTATGTTTTGTGGTGTGGGAGTAGGTTGGAAGAAAGCTAGGGGCGGACAAGCCGAAGCATGGCACAAATCCATGAAGTCAGACAAGTGGACTGAGTCATGTTGTTAGGTGTAGGCCACGTGGTTGTGGTCTGCAAGGTGAAAGTCACCGATATAGAATCCTTTTTGTAAGGCTTTGTTTGGGAAAATCCCTCCATGTTTACATTTGTAGCATGTTCTTATTGACTCTTTCTGTTCTACATTTTGGTGGTCCGTTTAATCTCATTTTGGGATGTTAATATTTTTTTATTTTGTTATAGTTTCTATTTTTTGTATTCTTTTTGAGTTTATAGGTTTCTTTAGGAAATGTATTATGTTTTTTAAGTTGATACCGAATTATGGCGACAGCCATAATTTCTCGTTGGAACAATTTCTTTTGCGCACTTGAATATTTCAATTTTCGTAGGAAACCACCACAATGTATTCAAAGTATTCATTAATATTTCAGCAATTTACAAATTCTCTAAACGATTCAGAAATGAAGAGTAGTAGGGTGAACAGTTGCTTTCTGTTGATTCTTCATCGTGCTCTAATTTTACCAATGTTACATCACTAGTATTATCATTATTATTATTATTCAGCCACAATGAGTAAGTAGAATTAATTCATGCTGTAGAATTAAAATGGCGAGTACTCTATCAATTGACTCGTAACTACTATTCAAATGAGATAATACGATTAGAAATGTTAAAAAAAGATCGTACATGACGATTAAGAAAATTAATCTATCTTCAGGTGATGAATTCTAATCAATAAATTAAAATCGTATTTAAGAACAAATTAACACAAAATAGAATATGTTGTCATTGTAGTTATACAATGAAAATAGTTATTAATAATAGTTACTATTATTATTATTATTATTATTATTATTATTATTATTATTAGTTGTAAGAATATTATGTAAAATAGAATGAATCAATGGTCAAGGATAGAAGAACAGGAAGCAACGAAGTTAGATTTAAGAATGAAACTACCCTAATTTGGGCTAATGTACACAGCGAGGTAGAATATATATATTTTGTTAGATATTAGTTAGGTTGGATTTAATTGAAGCCAATCTATTCGGTAGGTTTAGTCTTGCGCTTTATATTAAATTACTGGGTTGCTGACATGTCATTGAGAAAGTAACTTCATATCTGTCGTTTTGCCGTAATTTATTTGGTGGAAAGGAATGGGACTTTCGATAAATGTAGTTATGTAATTTCCAACCTATGCCAGTACGTGTTCAAAAGCATGTAAGTCTGAGGACGTTCGACTATGGCTATAGTACCTAGTCTTCCAGGAGCGATAAGTTGATCAATAAAAAATTGATGAACCAATAATCCTTTTCTTATTCTTATTACATACGAGTACTTTTCCCAGATCTTTATTGATGATCTTTTTCGAACATTTCTAACGAAACTAACATATTTTATTGATATTTTGTTATGCTTCAAAATCGATGGCTGTCAAATCTACCATTTTCACTGCATAACAAGAATTAATTTCATTGAAATATTGTTTTAATTATAACACAGTAATGTTTATTGATATACAATAATCTAGAAAGATGTGTAATGTTATACTTTCACGAAGAAAATACAGTTGCTGAAATATAAAAATTTATTATTGTACTTAATTCTGACAATAATTGTTATATTGTACAACAACGCGCGCCAAGCGCGTTTTTCCCATTCTCCTCTTCACAGGTCTCCTGCGTGGACGTTAGCCTGAGGTTAGCAATAAATATACTTCTTCCTCTAGAATCACCTTTTTATTTGATTCTTAGAGTATCGGGATGAACATTTGTTATCCCGAGAAGTAGTATATCGTACTGTAGTGTGTCGATTTTAATGCGTGTTCTTAAGCTCGGTTTGTAAATCAGAACATGAACTCGTATTGATTAATACGTTTATTCGGGACACACTACAAAGCGAAGCGGAGAAGCAGTGAATAAAACGAAGGAAGCGAATGGATAGGCGAAGCGCGTTGGAGAAGGCAAAAAGCCAACTCGAAGAGTATGACTAAGAATATATAGTCAGATAAAAATAAGACAGACATATGACAAGCGAAATAGGCATGCACAGACATCAATAAAAGCGATGAATGATTGACAAGGTCAAAAGCAAGCGATACAAATCGTGGGGAAATTAAGAGATTAACATTAAAGCGAAAAGGAGAGTAAGCGCGTAGGCGTAAGCAATGCTCAGTCGTATAAGCTCATACAAACCAGGTAATAAATATTACCAATGGTACATATGAGTTTTTGCTATACAAATGGCTTGGTTAAATAAATTAATCGAAAGGGCTGAACAAAGTTAGATGTAAGCGAACTGGAATATATGTGGAGGCACTACAGTACGATTTGCTATAGATGAGTGATTAAGCGTCTACTGTAAAAGTTGTTTTCAGTCTTCTTTATTGATTGAAAAAGCTTAGTTGCTAACAGAATTTGATAGGTATTCGGTAAATTTCAAAACATCCTGTCTAATGTCAATCTATCAGTTTTGCAAACCGCATAGTAAAATGTGTGAAACTTAAGTTATTCTACATTTGGCATACAACTAAACAAGTTTATTGATATTCGTAATATCTGGTGGTACACAAAGTTAGTTAGCTTGCAAATTATATTCAT